TGATATTGTGTAACAGGAAGAAAAGGTCTAAAAGAGCAGGGGAATTGGGAGGGGTAGGGGAAGGGAAAAAAGGGAAAGGAAAAAATATGAGAAGAGGAAAAAAAATGGAAACAAAGTCTTTGCATATAGGGAAGGGTGGAGGGGGTGAAGTGAGGGCAAGGGAAGGGGAAAAAAAATAAGACCCAAGAGACTCATGTAATGGTACAAGATCCCAACGATGAATGTAACTGTATTTTATACCTAAAATGTACCAATAAAGTTAATGGGGGAAAAAAAATAGAGTGGGAAATTATTAGTAATGTTCAACACTTTCTCCCAGCAAACGACCTTGCCTTTTGTTTCACAGAGAAGATAGAAACAATTAGTTATGAATTCTTTATCTATTCTGCCACTCTATTCACAAGGCTGATCTGTATTTTCATTCATTCATCCTTATCTTCCTGGCAGTGAGGAACAGGTGTTCCTCTTGTCAGAGATTGATACACCCCTTTGTGTTCTGAAAGGCAGTCAGTCCCTCCTGGCTCCTCAGGTATCTAATCTATGAATTAGTTGTTTTCTTCCTCTGTCTTTAATAACTAGTCCCAACTTCACTCATTTCTCTATTTATATTTAAGTATTTTACATGTTAGGAGAATCAAACACTACCTTTAATACCAAGCTTGTAGAAATAGTACTCATACTGGTATCATTTTCCCATTCCACATTTCATCTTCAGCTCACTTCAAATTATTTTTCTACAACGATGGTTCCATTGAGATCATCCCCATCTTTGTAGCTGCCAAATCAGCATTTGTGACAGGTATTTTTAAAATTTTCATTTTCATGCTGTCTAGATCACTTCCAAACTTCCCCAGCATTCATTTTCAGTTGTTTTCTGGCTTCTCTTACTTGTTTGTATTTTCCAAAGATAAGATCTAGGGTTTCACTATGTAATCTTGGGAGATTTCAATTATAGGCCTGGCTACAAATACTACCTATATACTCTGAATATCCCTAGCCTGTACTGGTCCTCAAAGCCCCACATCCATACTAGCTATTTACTGACTACAAGCCATTTTCCACCTGAATACGCTAAAGAGACTTTATAGTAGCATATCCAAACCTGTGGGTTGTGACAAAGCCACACTTTTCTCCACCAAATATTCCTGCACTGATACGCATCTTAAAGCCTGGAAGTCATTCTACATTTCTTTAGCCTTAGTCCCACATATTTATTCTTATCTTCATATTTCAGCTTTCTACTTGCCCAGGTTAAGGTCTCATCATCTCTTTCCTGGACTATCACAGTCCCCTCACTGCTAACCCTGCCCATTGTTCAATTCATTTAACTCGCAGATATCATAATCTTTTTTTTTTCCTAGTATGAAAAGTCCTTAATGTTACAGACATATATAAACTAGGGTGCGATGGTAGTGGTGACTGGTGGATTCCTACAATACAAACTAATAATAACAAGAGTATACCACACATCTCAGGTAAGACAGAATAGGAGAGAAATTAAGAATCTCTGCCCTGCTGAATAGTATTTATACTCAACAGTAAATATTCTCTGGATTTATTCCTTATTTAAAAACTTACAAATACAGAAATGTTTTAATTTAGTAAAAGACTGCACTTTTATAGAGGGCCAATGTGATCCAAACGTGAACACTATGTTTGTAACTAGTAGCCGAGTTAACATCTAATAAATCTTTATAGGTAGATCCTACCTGTTAAGTGTTCCAGAGTACTCCTTGAGTAAAGTATCACGAAAGAACACCAAGCGTATCTAGTCACAGGACAGTACTGAGCATGAAGGAACTATAAATTTAGTAAATGACATCTCTATTTTGAGAAAAAAAGGTCTACACTATGTGTCTACACTGGGAATTTTAAAGAAATATATAAATATTTAATTCCCATCAAATTGTTTTAAAATGTAAGTTGTTAGTTATGTCTTATAGGGATATGTGTTCACATGTTCATTTTTGAGATATAAAGTTTGTACCAGTTTTGCCACAAGTACATAAGAGCAAAAGCAGGTAAGAATTTAAAAACAAAAAAGTGTCCATAATTTATCGTTGCCTTGCACATTTTCCACAGTATGTCTATATTAAAGCTTTAATTCAGTGCTTTGAAAGTAGTTTATCACTATAGCACAAGCAAATAAAAGTTCTCAAAAGATTGTATCTGCATAATAATACTAATACAATGGTTTAAAATGACACCATTGATGGTTACAGGTGAAGCAAGATGTCTCAATGGTTTTCAGAGAGAGGGACCATGTAAATGGTCACTGAGGTGAGCAAAATTAGAAGTAAGGAGCTTCCTCTTGGTTTAAATACCATGATAGGTAGCAGCAGTATTTTCTATTCTGAAGGAGGAAATACATTCATTTTCTTTCCCTATAGATGTAGACACTGCCCTATAGATATAGACACTTTCCCTATATAGACATTCCTTGGAGAACTGTTCTGATAAAGCCCTTTTAAAAACTCACCTTAAAAACACACAACTATTTATCTCATTCTAGTAAAAAAAAAATCCCTAAAATGCATTATAGTATGGAATGAAGCCGAAGTCTGTAAAGTCAAAGTTTCAAGGGTAATGTTAAAATACTGATACATACAAGAACTGTAATTAGCATTGAGAAATAACAATGAGATTAGGTGGTTCCATTTCTGAGGGTTAACTCTGAGTTGAAGGACCAAAAATGCATCTTAACACAATAGAAAGGGTTTCTATTGTTCCTCCTATAACATCTCCTATAAAAATTAAACTGCTTATAGCTGGATGTCGTAGCACACACCTGTAATCCCAGGATTCAGGAGAGTAAGACAGGAAGATTGCAAGTCTGAGGTCAACCTAAGCTTTATAGCAAGTCCAAGGCCTGTATGACTATATAGTCAGATGCTGTCTCCAAAAACACAAACCAAAACAGAATTTTAAGAAATTTAAACGGTTTAACACTGCTACCAAATTTCTGAGAAGGCGCTCTACTTACTTTACATTCTTTATTTTGATAAAGACAGTTTCTTAGAAGCTGCATAGTGATGCTTAACTCTTTAGTAAAACCATCCTCCTGTTTAAATAAACAGATGTTAAAAAATGTGAACACAGCAGCTTACCCCACTTTTTGTATAATTCCCTCCCCTGTGTCACAATACAATGCAGCTGTGCCGACCATAGTAACTTTAAGCAGACTGACAAGCTAACAATCTCTGAAAGATGACCATATCTCAAGAAGTGCTTCCACTACAAAAAAGCTATTTCTGTTCTACCAAGCATGGAGGAAGTAGTATATATAATAGCCTCTGTTTCATCTCAATAAAGTGAGGCAGGTACTGACTGGTTTTCAATCACATCAGGTGCTGGATGACTTTCTCAATGATGAAGTAAGGGCTTTTGGCTAGAGAGGAAAAATGAAAAGAGGCAAGAAAAGAAACCAACAAATATCAGTTAATTCCCTACATCAATTAAATTATTAAAGTTTTGGCCAGGGATTTAGCTCAGTGGTTTCGCAGCCTGCTGCGCAAGTATAAGGACCTGAGTTCGATCCCCAGTACCAAAAAAAAATAAAAAAATAAAAAAATAAAGTTTTGTCTTGTTTTCTTACTAGGTATTAGTGTTTCTTTAGTGGTTTTACATAAACACACACATTGATATTTGCATATTCATGCACACATTTGTTTTCTGAATAAGTCTGTGGAGCAAATCTTATTTATTATAATTATTAATTATAGCTACTATGTAATAACTTTTGTGTGTTTATAAGAACATACAGTTTAAACATGAGTCATGCACACTACATATAAAGAGATATTAAAAAATCACAGAAGGAGATAAACAAATTAAGAATACCAATTCTGCCACTTCCAAGATAGAAGAGCAAAAATCTGGCTCCATCAACTGGCATTTGTAACTATGATGTCATCAGGTTCAAGAGCTAAGGAATATGAAATATTTGAATAGTGTGTGACATATAATACACTCTTAGTAAATTACAGTGGTTACAGATCTCATTTCCTACAAAACTTCTGTTTGCTTTACTAGAATTTTTTTTGTAGGATAAAATAATTTACTAGTATAGTATAGTATCACAAGCATGCAGGTATCTTCAAATACATAAAGTAACAAAAACAAAACCACATAATACATAAATCTCACATAAAAACTTCCAAGTGAGAGTTAAGGAAAAAGTATCCAACAACCTGGTGACACAGAAATCGCAATAATTTATTTGACTGCCTTTCTTCTAAAGCAGACACTCATTTCAACCTTTTACCCATTTATAGGCCCCAGGGCATTGGAGAGATGGTCACTACATGCATTCATTCCTTTATTGTAGAACTTTAGAATTTAAAGTTACCTTCTTTTTCAGTGCTGCCTTCCCAGGCCTTAGAGAATCGAGATTCAGTTGTGCATGGATGTATTTCATCTGTTCCATACAGTTGTCTATGAGGTCAGCTGAAAGACAAAATTTCCAAAGTAAAAAAGATATTCCATTTCCAAACAAGTCAAAACCACATACAATCTGATTCTCACAAAAGTTTATGTTTGTGGCTCAATTCCTTTATAGCATTTTCTGTGAGAGATTAGAAAATCAGGGGGGAAAAAGGAGAACTAAAATGCTGAAGTCCAGCTGTTTTGAGCTCTTAGTAAGATATTTCCCCAATACTGAATAATTTATATTTTGAGATTTGCATAATTTTAGTAGCAAATCACAATTGAAATTAAGGACTTTATGTTGCTATTACTCTCTTTCAACTCTTAGACCTGTGTTTCTTGATGTACAGATGAGAAATTACAACACTTTAGAGAGGAAATTTTTATAAAAATATAGGATTATCTGATGCTACTGTCTGTACCATCAAAGCAATGTTCGTTTTTTTGTATTATTTTGTTTTTAGGTATGCAGAATATGCTTGTGGATACTAATGCTTTTTTATGAAACTGAGTAATGTGTTACTTTTTTAGTTTGTCTAATATTTAGATATACATTCTCTCGAGTTAGAATCATTACACATTAAATTAAAAAAATCTACAGAATAATTTATTTTCAAAGTAATGAATATTTACTGTTATTCCATAAAGAACAAAATCAATCTTCTTCAGTGACACTGAAATTAAACTGTAAGTTCTTTATATTTCTAGTTCAAGAAAAATAAAATGAACAGTAAAATACAAGAATTGACAATATGCCACATGAATGGCTGATATGTCATGTAGATCACCTTTCAAAGCATGTTTCTGTGCTCTTCTGCTGATGGCCAGAAGTGACATTAATGCATTTGCAGCAACTCTTTTCAGGATATCTTTGGAGGATTTTCCTTCATAGCACTGTAAAGAATATAGATCAAACTGCCTTAAAGAAAAATCTAATCTGGAGGAAAACTGATGTGAATAAATTTCTGTCTAAAAGGTATTGTTAAGTTCAAAAAACCATGTGAAATTCACTAGAATTTGACAAATCATTAATGTTTGAAAATGCTGTGTGGATAAGGTTAAAAAAGAAATTTACATTATGGAAAAAACCAACAATCACTCTCAAAGATTTATCACCTACAGAAAAAAAATTTATTAGTATTAACACAGAGGAAGTTCAGTATTACTCAAACTTCACAGGCATATATGTGTGTAACAACATGCCTGTCTTCACATTTCTCATTTTTTCTTCTGGGGACACATTCCCCTCTATTTCCACCAAATATATTCCTGTACCTTGGGTAATTTGGCCCATTCCTGCTTATCTCAGTTTTATAGTGTCATATGATGTACTTTTTAAAAACGATTTTTGACTCCTGTAGAAACGGAAAATCACATATTATCTTGAAAATACTAACACTCTGGGTATATTTCCTTCACATACTTACACTTACAAGATAGAATTGAAAATTATGATGTTTAAATTTTTGTAAAAAATTATTGAACTAGGCTAGCTTTGAGTCTTGCCTGGGGAACTTACCAAGACCCTGTCTCAAAACAAAAAGAAAAAGAGGCAGAAGAAGAAGCTTCCGGGTCGACGTGCCACAGCTCACAGCACAGAGGAGGCTTCCAGGTCTACATGCCACAGCTTCCAGTGCAGAGTAGGAGGCTTCCAGGTGAACCTATCACTGCTCCCAGCACAGAGGAAGCTTCTGCATCAACGTGGCACTGCTCCCAGTGCACACTAGGAAGCTTCTGGGCCAACAAACGACTGGTACCAGCACTGAGGAGGTGAGTGCATAGGCAACAGCAGCACCCCTTCAACCAGTCGAAATGAGAAGACATGCAAACAAGCCTCAGAACCAGACTTTCAGATCACCTACACCAACCCCAAAGGGAAAAGAGATAGAACACTCTGATACTCATCCACCTGAACTCCCTGAACTGGCAACAAAAGAGGATCTGGAAAAAATGAAATCAGAAATAATTTCTCAGATAACAGCAGAGATTGTACCCACATTTCAAGACATGATTAATAATTCTAGAGAGGACACAGATAAAAAAATAGAGGATCTGAGGAATATGATGGAATCCCAACACAGGAAACAAATGGAATCCATAAAACAGATGCAAATAGATTTCCAGGA